GTCTGTCTGGCTAATTGGATAATTGAAAAAAAATGGCTGTCTTTGTTCAAAACATTATTTTATTCCTCACCTAGCAACTTGGCGCAAGTGAGATCTGGCAGTCTTGTAAAGATAGCATGATGTTCACTGATGCATGCAGAGATTCAAATGAAAATGGTACCTAAATGTACTGGGAGGATAATTCTATCAAGACATATCATGATACTCATGATTAAATATTCATACTTCAAACAATACAACTTTTAAAAAGTGGTACATTTTTTCTGACTCACTCTGTCCTCTGGTATCCGCACCTCCTTTATTTAAAACCGCGTGGTACATTTCGAGATGCCGCCGTGAGGGATCCGCACGGGTAATATTCATTTTAAATGGCCTTCGGACGGCAGACGCCTGTTGTTGTGCATATCGCCCGGGGCTCTTGAGGGGCCTGTGAGGGCGTCGTAGGGTACACGTACGGAACCCTTGAGCACCGCAAGGCGCCCGTAAAGATTTTTCATAAAAATTGACCCCCAAAATCGTGAGGGGCCCGTCCGGGCACCGTACGGAGCCCGCACGGGACCCGTAAGGTGCCCTACGGGCGCTTTACGGGTTTTCTACGGCCTAACGGTCAGATAAAAACGCCGGGAGAATTGGGAGCAGCCAACTCAGCACCACGGGGCCCGTACGGCTTAAAAAACTGTCCCGGCGCCCGTAGGAACTTTACGGCAACCGGCCGGATAACGGCCGAAAATTCCCAAAATGTCTGTTTTTACTCGCCGTACGGGCCCCGGAGTGTATATGTGAAACCCCCATAAGCATGTCTGCCCGTTATGGCGCTCTAGCATGTCAAGGTATTTATTCCTGCAAGGTACCCATTTACTTCACCTGGGTCGAGTGTGACAGATGCAGATTAATGTCTCGTCAAAGGGCATCACTGCCGCAATTGGACTCGAACCGCGCATCGTGTGCTCCAACGTCTGGTGACGTACCCACTTGACCATGACACCTCCAATCAACCCATTGTAGTATTTCCTGAATATCCTCCTAGATCTGTTATCAGTTATTAAATCTTGAAGCATCATCCGCCTTCCAATCCTTCTTCTTTTCTTAAACTACTAAAAGAACTTAGTGATTCATGAAAACAGCGTAACTTGCTTAAGGGCAGTCCGACAACCAGGGGCGGATCCCGTGTGCTGGAGGGGGGGGGGGCAATTCGTGAGAAAATATTTAGCGGCGTAATAGCCGGCCGATAGTTCGCTCAGTTGGGGGTTGGGGGAGGGGGGGGGTGGTCGTGAGCACTATTTTTTTTTTTTTTGCTCCCGAAAATTTGAAAATCGCGCCGATAATTCGCTCAGTGGGGGGGGGGGGGGGGGAGTGAGCATTAATTTTTTTGTTTGGCCCTCAAAAATTTGAAAAATACCCCCCCCCCCCTTGAGCGCCAGGGGAGGGCACCCATCTCCACTAGAGATCCGCCACTGCCGACAACTGTATGCTAATTGCAATTCATCAGCAAATCAAAGAGATATGCCCTTTAAAAAATAATTTACGGACCCATAATGTAGATATCCGCACACAAGACCAACGTCGCAGTAGCGATTGTAGAAAGATGCATGAGGGACTCAGGCCACCCCAACAACAACAATAATAAAATAAAATATATAAATGATAATAATAATAATAATTATAATGATAATAATAATAATAATAACAAATACTAAAATCAATCAATCAATGAAATAAAATAAAACAAAATACGACTACTAGTACTACCACTACCAATAATAATCATAATGAAATAAGAATTTGTAAAACGCAAAACGCAAAAAATGAATATGGGTTGTTTCCGTCAGTGCGGATGTAGGGGGGGGCCCTCTACTGGCCCCTAAAACGGGTTAATTTAACCTTTCAAAAACAAGAAGACGGGCCCCCTCCCCCTGGCACAATGGGGGTGGGGGTGGGTGTCGATTACCAAAAAAAAAATGGTTTCCTGATTTCCGTCGTAGTAAGCAAAGGACTAGTCCAACTTTGTAACAGGCCTACATACCTTCTCCATTTCGTGGCACAGTCAGGTCTTCTGTTAGGCCTAAGATCGAAGATCCTGTTCCTTGAGGGGGCTCGAGAACGAGTATGTTAAGCCCATCGTGTAAGAGTTGGTCTGGAAATCGGAAGGAACAAAACAGAATGATATGCTATTAACGTCAGCGACCCAATTTATAGCGCTGTCATTAACAATGGAAATAAAATCCAGTAGGCATTAAGTAGGCATACAGAGATAATAAGCTTGCACTATGAACATGACTCACAAAGAAAGCGGACAAAATATACAGTTCCTCAGGTAGACAAAGGAACATCCCTTCACTGCTATTATGTGAAAATGTGTAGAACAGGTGTCACATGCATATTCACTTTTCACATAATAGCAGTGAAGGGATGTTCCTTCGTCTACCTGAGGACCTGTATATTTTGTCCGCTTTCTTTGTCCGTCATATTCATTGTGTTGTTCATAGTTGCAGTCTTAGTAAATACTGGATACGTGCTCATGAAAGTAAGGTTATCATTATTCATTTATGCACAAACAGACACGGTACACTTCATGATACACAGGTGGAAGTATCCTTTGAAAAGGGGAAACAAAGGCTATATAATAGTAGCACCTCCAACGCTGTAGGAGTGATTATCTCAACATGTACAAAGTCTCTTCATGTTTTGAAGATCTGTGGATATTCGGGGTCATTTGGGACATGTGCTAACCATGAACTGGTCTATGTATTGTGGCGGGCCTTTGGTGAAACCAAACTTGTAGCACGTTTGTCAGTGCCCAGACAAGGTTGCATTTAAGTGGGACATTTAAGAGGGGCTGCGTCTTATTTTTTTTTCGTACCACATCGAGCCCAGATTCCAGTATGAACTCATTTTCATACATAACAAGCTATTCCCAAAATCTCCGGTAAAGGGGTACTTTTCGCGAGACAAAGTCGGGCCAAAGAATTGTAAAAAAGGGGATGTATTTGACTTTTCACGCGGAGATTTCTTTAAAAAGGAGGTGTTTTTTTCTTTCTCTCTTTTGACTCCTGAGAAATTTAAAAAGGGGGTTTATTAATTTGACTTTCCACCCGGAGATTTCATACATAACAAGCTACGAAAGCTTGCAAAGAGATCACAAACAGTTATACTTTGATTTTTATTGCCTTGCCTATGATACCAGTCAAAAATCCGCTGTTAGAAACCTTCCTCCGGCAGTATTTTCTCCGATATACATCAATGACATACCAGCAGGCTAAACTTTGGTTTTTGCCGAATCACACACCATCGAATTCTTATATCCATCCTCCACAATCGTGCATATCCGTTATACCCACCATTCTCAAATTGTAACGTAGAATATGATGGCATGATTATTACGGTCAGCTAGCTGCATTGAATGATACTAAGATCAGCGTTAAAAAATAGATGTTGGAACTACTTTTTTCTAGCCTAGTAACAAACACATTAAAGTCAGGAACGCACTCTTTGATTTTTCTAGTGTGTAGCCAGGCGCGTACGCAGGGGGTGTTTGGGGGGTTAACCCCCCCCCCTTTGGTATTTTTATGTTTGTAAACCTCCCTAAAAAATCCCCCAAACCCCCCCCCCCCCCCCTTTGGTTTTTTTTTTTTTTTTTTTTTTTTTTAATTATTTAAAAAAAAAAAAAAAAAAAATCACCCCCATGGCTGACCTAAGAAAGGTGACCTTATCCCCCCCCCAACGGAACAAAATGTCAATTTTTCATATTTTGAGACCAAAAAAAAAAGTGTCCTCTTACCCCCCCCCCCCCCCCCCCCCCCCCCCACTGAGCGACTTTTCGGATGGCTGAGTCGTTGCGATTTTGGGCTCCCCCCCCCCCCCCAAAAAAAAGTGTCCGCTTACCCCCCCCCCCCCCCCCCTCACTGAGCGACTTTTCGGCTGGCTGAGTCGTTGTGATTTTTTTTGGGCTCCCCCCCCCCCCAAAAAAAAAAAGTGTCCGCTTACCCCCCCTAGACTAGACCTGCTTATAGGACCTTCACAAAACTGTGCCGAAAACATAGTAGAAGGTTTTTATATCGACTTTAATAAACGTCCTAGACATGTAGCCTACGGGCACATTTCTTTCATCTTCGTCATCATCATTTTTATCGTTATCACAATCATTTTTTCATTTTTATCATTATCACAATCACTTTTTCATTGATATTATTATTTGTAGTAGAAATATCACTATTATCATTATTATTATTAAGATGATAAAAAGATTATTATTATTATTATTATTATAATTATTAAATTCAATGCAATTCTCATGTCTTTCATTCTCGGTTAAAAATTACATTGATACAAAAGATACAAAAAAAATCATGAACAAATTTAGAAATTAAAAAGGGGAACTACATAAATAACGCCCTTAATAGGCCTTGTACAAGCGTAGTTCCCAAAACATTCATAGCATAATGTAAAGCAAAGATAACAAACAAACAAAAAAACATTAAGAAAAGAATATTTAAAAAGAGAATATAACACACATAAGATAAGAAAAATAACTATACATATTTGGGAAAAAGAAACTACTTCAACTTTTTTGAAAGAATTAGCTGATTTGCATTCAGAGATATCATTGGGGTGGAGTTCCAAATTACAGGGAAATTATGTCGTATTGATTTCATTATTTGTTTTTACTGGCCATAAGTGAAAACAATCCTTAAAATTGGTTTTGTGATTATGTATCTGGTAATTAAGAGTGAACATCTATAAAATATTAACAGTTAAATTATTTTGAAAGTAACAGAAACCAAGGAGGGAAATGGAGTAATATTGCAAATCAAAAATATTAAACAGTCGGGGCAAAATGGGCACGATAATGAAATCAAAGGCATATGCGAAGGTTTTTTGTGTGCAATTTTTAAAATAATTTATCTAATTTAGTTCTACTACAATTACCTCCAAACAGCAACACAATAATTTAGATATGAGAGCATGAAAGAATTATATAGTAGTATTAATGCTGAAGGTGGAAACGAATCTTTAATCTGTATGATATACCAATACATTTAAATACCTTTTGAGTGGCTTTATTGACACGAGCCTGTGTTCTATTGCATATTATAATCGATCATTACTATCATTATGATTATATAACGAAGGTTGCATTTCTACGTCGGGGTACCATAGCCCTTTTCCGTAAAATAAGACAAAATTTATTTATCTATTACGTACATCACAAATACCCGAAATGACAAAGACTGTTGCTTAAAAAAAACATGGCTGATGTGAGTTTCAGTCCCTAGCTGACAAAAACATCGTATTCATCATTATCGACGTGGTCTTCTTTAACCTCGGAATCTGTTCTAGCCCATGACTGTAAGGTGACGGTACCAAAGATGACAAACGAAAGCCCTCCAAAAGCGTAGATGCCTGCGACGATCCACATAACATTCTGCCAGCCTCTGATGTCAGACTAATCAGGACACGACATATTAAAAAGAGAAAATCAAAGAATGATAAGAGAAAATACAAAGAAATACATTTAGAAAGAAACACGCACAGACAGAGAGAGTCAGTTTCTTTCTTTTGTTTTATTTTGACTTGTTTGGTTTAAGGGGCGTTGCATTATTTTGTTTATTTTTGTAAGAAGATAGGTATCTCATAAAATCCTATATCAAAGAAATTCTCGTCTTTATAATGAGCCCCCCCCCCCCCCGAAAAATTATAATATTGAATGAAAAATAAATAATAAATAACAAAAATAAGGATGAGAATAATAATAAAGATGAAATTAAATTAAAACAATTATTGTTGTCCGTACATAACATGCAGCAATTCATTTATTTCTCTGACATTTCTGCCTGCTTTGAAAGCAAGTTAATGGCATACAGGAACTGTTCGGTCATGACCAGTATGCCTTCTGCAACATTCATCAATGTCTCTGCCTTCGGTACAAAGGAAAACGAAGTCATCGTATCATTACCTGGTTTCCAGTGACCACACCCACAATATAGGGACCGACAATGCCCCCAAGGGTGCCTCCTGTGTTCATCATGCCCATGCAAGACCCGGCAAACGGACCCGAGACATCTAGCAGGGCCACGAAATGCCCCGAGAAGGCGATACCTACCGCCCCCATCGCCAGAGATACAAATGTCACAGAGAGGGCCACGTTACATTTCGCGAAGCCGGCAAAGATAAGCAAGAGGACGCATAAACCTACTCCTATAAACAAACAAAAAACACAAAAACGAGAGAGTAAGTTTGGGGTAACTATATTTATTCTTTATTCTATATAAAATCATTTCTTAATTATTTTTAAAAACATGTCCTCTATTCGAAAAAGCGCCCCCAAACAATGTGTATTTTAAAATCAAGTTTGATCAAGAGCCGGATATTAATATACTTTCAGTGCCAAAGGTAATAGAAACAGTATTCTACAGTTTTTCTACATTCACCTTTCAAAGAAGACTTTAGTTAAATCAGGGTCCCCAATATAAAAGGTTTATAGAACAAGGAGTCTTCCATACTTTGATCTCAACAGAAAGCTTTGTCTATACACTTTCTTTTTTTTCAAAGAAAAGTGTCATTCAATCATTCTTGAGCAAGAACGAAACAATAGATTTGAACAAAGTACATGTTGTGACATATCCGTAAAACAAACATTGTTACATCAGTTGCACATTGTCTCCATTTATCAAGTAAAACAACGAATTTATTACGTTTGGTAGAAAGAACTCGCTCAACTTCATAACAACGTTTAAGCATTTTCTTTAAAGAATTTAAAGCTAGCCTTTCCCTTTTGTATTTCGCAGAGAATATAGTGTTTTGCACATAAAATGACTAAATTATAGATAGATTGCGTACCATCTGGGAAACCAAACAAAATGCACTTTTTTATTCAAAAGCACTTCGTTGTCTAGAATAGAGCTTTGGAAGTCTTCATTGAATTAATGCGTAACAGGGCAAGTGTGAAATACTTCCAACAAAGGATAAGCAAAATGTACATAAATTAGAATTAGCTATGCCCATAATGTGAAGATATTTGTTGACACCTAGTATTCGATGTAAAATTCTGAACTGTCTATAAACTTACCAAGCCCAGTAGCCAGCTTCCTATTCGTCAATTTGGTCAGAAACCCGCGAATGAATATCCAGTCAGCTACTCGGCTGTATAAGACCATGCCGACGATTTGCATAATATACGGGAGCCCTGAATATAGACCAGCCTATTTTTTAGGTTAAGAAAGAGATGGAAATATAGGATTAATAGACGCGAGAGGGATAATGTCATCATTGATCAGTTCATCGTAAGCATAGTACAGAGAGGGCTTAATCCGGACATAAAAACATAACTGAGTGCAACTGAATAAACCAATTAATATTGAGACATGTGGCAAGACGATCATGACGATATCAAAATATAATGTAACCATTTACGTCCCTAAAATGTTTGAGAATTCAGTCGACTGTACACCCTGTGATCGAACTACGAATTGATTTTGAAAGATATTACCATCTAAATATTTCCTGATTAAGTTCTCGAGTGATCATTTACACAATAGCCAAAGCTCATATTGTCATCAAATTAAAACAAAATTATGAGGCTTTCCTGATAAAAAAAAGACTAAATTAATGAATTAATAAACCATAGGCGAAATAACATGATGAGTTTAACGTTTATCTGATACGGAACATAAAAGGGAAATGCTAGAATTATCTACACGTGGGGTGGCGTTCTAACAGCTATTTAAGCTGTCAAGTTAGGGAAAAGATGTGAAGTATCAAACAAATCAAATTTGGGTCAATTCATTTGTTGACATACTGTCAAAAGAGTCGAGTGCATTTGTTTACCCATGTTGGGTAAAAAACGGGAACATGTATGTTTTGGGGGTAAAATTTTACCCAATTCTAAAACACACATTTTTCCCAAAAATGGGAAAATGTATACCAACTCTTTTTAGAGTATTATATAGTTTGTGCAATGGCAGCTTATTCATGTTATTTACGCGTTGCTTTTAAAATAGACACCTGTGCAAGATGTTATTGTAAATTTTTATTCAGTTTCTAATATTAAAAACATAATTTTCCCTTTTCCTTAATAGTCATCATACCACACTTTCCGGAATACGGCGCCTGACTTACCAATTCTAAGGGTACCCTGATACCATCGCTGTAGTATAGAGGTAAGTTGACAAGTAATGTAAATAACCCGCACGATTGGCCAAAATGGGCACATACAAAGACCCACATCGCTCCAGAGCTGAGGATCGAACCCCATGGCACAGACCGCTGTCGCTTCAAGACAAAAGAAAAGCGAATCACATTACGTCAATTTTTCTTTTTTTTTGTAAAGGGCTCTAGATCTGCACATCAAACACGAAAAATTACAAACGATAAGACGGCACGACATGCTGGACGAAAAACGACAAAAATTGATGTCGTGTCGGACACGGTTTCATATGTTTGCATTCGAGCGATTGTTGTAAAATCTCGCTTTTCATGATGTATTGTACTTTTGTCTTTTTATCGGGAATGGTGTGCAGAGACTTTAAAGGGATCCGGTAACTTTGTCTCAGATTCTGAAAACATATTCTGGATTTAGCTCATGATGCAATGATAATTATAAACCTTTAGGTCAGTCAGGAACCCCGTGACTTTTACAAGCCGATCGCCTGTCTGATTATCAAGATATTTATGATTGGAATTACAAATTTTGAAAACCGTTCGCCTGACGGTTTTCATAACACTACAGTCTATTGGGGAAAACGAGTATGGTAAAACCGGTCACTCAAAGATTTTTTACTTTTTTGAGGCACTTCTTGATCCTTTTGAAGCGCAAGTTTTTTAGGGCTTCAATATTATATCATATCACCGACACTGATAACACGTAGGGCCGTTTATCTCAGATTTAACATTGTTAAACGATCCCTTTAAGGCTTTGTAAACATCATATAATTTTGTTTAGGGTGACACACAATGCTATATTAATAGATCCCAAGAAAAAAATCCTCAAATAAAAAACGGCGAAAAATGAGTTGGCATAATTTGCAAATGCCTGTCATAATTATGATCTAATGTATAGTCTGGAGTGTTGTAGGGCGTGTGAGGGAGAGGGGGGTTTTAACCCCTTAAATGGTTCATTTAAGACATATTTTACCTTGTTTTGTAGTTTGAGACCGTCTTCTAGGTAGTCCCGTTCTTCTCGAGATATCCAGGGATGCTCACTTGGGGAGCTATACCCAACAAAACACCAAACAATGAACGACAAACATCCAAGAGATCCTATATATGGGATTCAAAAATATTACAAAGGGGCTTTATTTGAAACAAAACATGACGAAACTTGATGCACAAGGGATCAATGATGTTCTTGATTACCGTCATCAATACTATCATAAAGAAGAACAAAGTAACAAAGGAAATGTTTTATTAATGTTATTTTCTTTACTAAACATAGTCTCAAGAGAGAGAAAGATGAGTGTTAAGCCACAAAAACACACAGACAAAATATATTTTAACGAAAATAAAACTCTTAACGGTAAAATAATCACCACCACCACATGATGCTTACTGTCTGCTATTAGCTTTTCTTGTTGAGCTTCAGTTTTTTTTTTCATCGACTCCATACAACTCATGTTATTATGCTGATTTGTTTTTGCTTGTAGGTGCTTTGAACATCTTTAGACATTTTTTTTAATGTTTTATTTAGGTTTTATTTCCACATATATATATATATATATATATATATATATCATTTATATAAACAAAAGAAAAACAAAAGAAGAACAACAACGGGTGTGTTGTGCAGCCAGCCAACAAGTGATGATAATAACGGCGGTCTCCATAATGACGTTCTTAAGCAATTTCTTACAGAAGAAGAAGTTTATGTTTCAAGTGATAATTTAAAAGTACTTATATTGGGCAGCTGTTTAGGCGACATATCCAAGGAGTTCCAGTACACCGGACTAGTATAAATCCCAAAAAATATTAGTTTATTTTTTTTGTAAGTGAAAATAGACTGTCGGGTTGGATAATTATGAAGTTGTTGATTCTTTTGGAATGCCGACGTGATGGCATGAGGAAGTTCGTTAGAATTTAATTGAAACATAAAACAGCCTAAAATAAAATTGTACAAGTCATGAACTTTTAATATTTCACTTTCTTAAAATAAACTATAAGTGTGGCTTAATCTATTAGTGTGGCAGACTATTCGTCCAACTGGTAATTAAACTCATGTCTGTCTTATAACTTAACATATTATTTCGCCTGCCATCCCTCTTGACTCCCAAAACAAACACATAACACAATAATACACTTCAATTATTGTGGGATAGCCTGACAACGACCGCAGACAAATAATATTCCCCAAGCAAGTATGCCATAGTTAAGATAAGGTAAGATAAGCGTCGAGTACAAACTTTTCTTAATATACTTAGGAAACGACATTTTTAATCTATTGATATGTTCCTTGATAGTGTAAGGTGTGTTCTTTCCAAGAGAGTTTATTTTCAATGATAAAACCAGGAATTTTGACGAATCAACAAAGTTTATAACTGTTTTATTAATGTAAACACTGGCAGGTAATCCTGAAATAGAGTTGCTGAAGAGCATACATTGAGTTTTATTTAAATTCAAGAAAGTTCATTCGCAAAAATCCACTCTTCAACAAGTCTCAGTTCAAGATTAACGGTTTCAAGAAGTGCATTTGGGGTTTTTGTGTAAGAAAAACACAGAAGAATCATCAACAAATAATATTGGATAAGTTTTGAAAGTCAGATACAATATAAATAAAAGAGGCACAAGAAGATTTCCTTGTGGAACTCCACAAATGATGGATATGTGCGTTATGAGAATTTTATCACTTTAAGGTCTACCAATATTTTAACCTTTTCAGTGTTTATTGCTAGGGGTGCTTACAAGATTTGATAAATTTTATATTTGTTTTGAAAGAAATCTGTGACAGCAAGCTGTCCAAATTTCACAAAACGTATTCATATAAGGAAAAAAAAACTTACCATATATGTAAAAAGGGAATGGCCAGCCACCCGCTATGTCGAAGCTGATTAAATATCCCGTCAGTGCATTTCCAATAGCATTTCCGAAGTTAAAACCTAGATAACAAGAATGGGAGTACTTCAGGTATTTGCACTATTGAAAAATAATGGGGCTAAACGTCTAAACCTGAAGTGTGATTTTAATCATTAGCCTGTCGTAAAGGTCTTCGATGCAGGGAAGCATTAGACTTGAAACGTAGTAGGTATGTGCGAATTCAAAGCCTTAGGCTCGGTGTTCAAATGGTTTTTGTTGTTGTTGTTGTGGTTGTTATTTTCATTTCATTCAATAAAGCGGATTCGCAGTTAACAGCGTTCCCACCGGCAAGCCATTTTTCAGCTCGCGGATTAGTCCAGAATCTGCATTCCCTACACACTTGATTAAAGCCGCCGAAGATGGCGCTATCAACAAACTCATATGCACACCAGTCCAGCCTGAGAAAAAGGAGCGATGGCGTAACGCAAGGTTGGGGTTTGTCCGAAAATCTAATTTTCGACTGACATAACAACTATTAACAAACATGACAAACAAAAGAGTGCATCTAGAAAACTGATTTGTATGAAACCGGCATGATATGTGAGGGCCTGTTGTTCACTGCTTGCTGTGACATGATTTCTTTCAAATTGAACGTTATCGTAAGTGTCGGCGGTGGAATAACGCCTCGTGTGCATCAGGCTTTACCTAGAAACCCGCTGACAGCAAGGCGACTGCGTTCACTGGGGTGCGCCCATCTGGACCACGCGGCCATCATTGACGGGAAAGTGACTCCCTGGAGAGAGAGAGAGAGAGAGAGAGAGAGAGAGAGAGAGAGAGAAGAGAGAGAAAGAGAGAAGGGGAAGAAAAGGAGAAAACTATTCATTTCCAGACAGTCAAATTTTACGCTTTTGAAAAATAAAATGGAGTAGCCCTACGATGATCCGACATTTGCTCCTGCCATAATTTTGCCAAAGCTTTCGGGCTAGGGTTAAGGTTAAAATTTGTTTCTAGATTAGGGTTTGAGGTAATGTTTCAGGCAGCGAGTTGGAACTCGGGTGTAAGAAATTAACGTGGGCAATTAATTGTCACAGGAGGACGTGTACTTACATAATTAAAACCATGCTCGATCGTGATTACTAACCTCAATCACTTTTCAGTTGTTTGCATATTATAATTGTACTTGACTCTGGGGAATGATTACCCAAAATTTTGTAGCAGCTTAAGAATGCGAGTTACCTCCTATTTATCAGGTCAAGCCGATCGAAGACCGAAGACGAATTATAATTATGTGACATTAAATATACGTAAAAATTGACGTCGAAAGTATAATTTCTGTTAATAATTGGGCAGGGCCACGAGTCTAGCTAGTCGTAATATCAACTCCATTCACACAGCACGATTTACTTATCAGGTAAAGTAACCTCCTCTCAATTTATGATATACGGACATCATTTCTGCACTAGCTTGCCAATCAACTTAAAGGAAAGGAAATCTAACGACAAATGCAATTAGGCCTTCCAAAAGCAAATTGGTGTCATTCCTCCGACAAACTTGCCTTGCGACCAAAACATCGAATGTTACCGGCTAATTAAAGCAAGCGTGACTGTTATTTTTTCTTCTGTTCCTTCTTCTTTTTCTTCTTCTCTATATCTTCTTCTTCTTCGTCTTCTTCTTCTGGTTATTATTCTTCTTCAGTTCGTTTCGTTCTTCTTTTTCTTTTGTTTTTCTACACTAATGAATGCAAGCATTTCATTCATTTCAACATTCATCTTAAATGTTTTCCTCCTACCTCTCCCAATCCAGCGAAGAAACGGGATGCGAAATACCACCCGGTCCCACCGTAGGTCGCTACCGGTCCGAGAAGGGTACATACGCTTGAAAGAAGCATCCCGAAACCGAACACCCACTTCATACCAAACCGGTCACACAGCCATCCGCCTGGGATTTGGGTTACTAAATAGCCATAGAAGAACCCAGCGAGAAGAAGCTCTTGCGTCTGGGTATCCCAGGAAAATTCTCCTTCTGTCTTGAAGATTCAGAACAAAATATCATCTACTAAAATGTATGTTTAGAAGTTTACACAACCCTTTAGTTGTTACTTGTAAAGCACATGTCCACTTACAAGGGTCATAAAGCTGTAGCCACCAAAGCTTTTACATTATTATCATTGGTATTATCATTACCCCGGTTGCCATGGATACTGGATTCAATTTTGAATTTGCAAATTCCCACTTAATTGGGAAGTATTCGAGCCAGTCGCATTTTAAGGGCGTACAAATGCTAATGAAATCGTTTAGACGTTCTCGTCTATCTTCCAGGCTCATATTTAACACCTGGATGGAGAGGGAATAATGATGATATAAAATGATTGCTCAAAGACATATTAAGTGCCTTGCCGGAAAAAGAACCCAAACACTTGCATTCCCTCACAAGTAATCAAACCTCTACCTCTCACCTTGAACTTCATACTACGACACTTTTATAAACTGTGTTTATCAGAAAATTAAGTCTGCACATAATACATGAATGAAAATAATCATAATTTGTGAATTACCCTGTACCTCAACCCACGGGAAAGCTTTTAAGAAGTTTTGTCTAAAAATTCTGACACGACCTTATGCCGTTAGTGTTTTCTGTTTCTTTCCAAGAGATAAACTATTCGGAATACTTATAAGTAACCTTTGCTATTTTTAAAAACATTAAAACTAGATTGACACCATTAAGCGGGTACATTATGTACCAGAAGACGATCGTAAACCATAATCACAAACACACTACTTTTCTTAGCTTTCTTCTAAAGTTTCTGTGACTTTTTACATTTTCACAATACCCATCACCTTTACTTTCTTCCAGAAGCAGCCCTCACTATGAACATGACTTACAAAGAAAGCGGACAAAATATACAGCTCCTCAGGTAGACAAAGGAACATCCCTTCACTGCTATTATGTAAAAATGTGTAGAACAGGTGTCACATGCATATTCACCATTTTACATAATAGCAGTGAAGGGATGTTCCTTTGTCTACCTGAGGAACTGTATATTTTGTCCGCTTTCTTTGTCAGTCATATTCATAGTGCCTAGTTCCACTATAAAAGCTAATTTGCACAGCTAATGACTGTGTTATTCGTTATTCTCCTAGCATTCCTATAGTGATAGACGCGGGGATAGACGTCCCCCTTGCTCTTAAAAACCCAACACTTTTCCTATAGATGTTTTCTGCGCAGAAGAATTGTAGAAAGAAATCATACCTCTCCTTCTGTTGATGAATTCAAATCCCTATTCTCTTGACAAGTTTCCCAGCTCTCGTTTCCTTGTAGTTCTTGTGAGATGGCAGAATCATTCACCATGACAACTATAGCAACGCAGCCAACGCTAATGTTCTGTCTCATGGTGCAGGTGAACGTCATCCCGATAAAGAAGAAGATTGCAAGTTGATGGCGTACCTGGATGAGGCCCGGGACTGAGAAGAGAGATATTAATACACTCTAAAATTTCAAATGTTAAATAACCATAATATTATAAAAACAGCCCAGGAGTAACAACATTTTCAAAATGGTAGAATAAAAATTTGCCCATGCTTGGATTCGACCCTCGAGGATCGTCCTATTTAGTCAAACTCAAGTGATTGCCGCGTACCCGACGAAACAGCCCACCCACTGTTGACTCATGGATACACTACATTCATGGGTGAATGAAGCATTTTAAGTGTAATTATGCCATTTTTAAGAAAACAAAAATAATTATAATCATGATAATGAAGATTAGATTTCGATTTGTTATCGGTTTGGGGTCGATCTCGCTTGTGTGACTTGACGAATAACGTTATGTTCAATGTTAGGTACGCCAGCTTCGGGGCAGGGCATGTTGGATTTAATTTTAATAGTTGATAACTGCTGTTTCTGGTAAAATAGGTCTTGGCATTTTATTCTGGTGCACGTCGTAGCAGTCCGTATGACTTGAAAATATTACCCACACGATCCCAAAGATTGTTTAAAAATGAACCTAAGGCATTTTCATTAGCCTTGTTCACCGCGTCATACCAAAAGACGTTAAAAGATGGGAGTTGTTGCTACCTTGTTTGGCGTTCAACAATAAGGGATAGAGCAACGTCGATCTGGCGCTGCTCAGTGGCTGCCGGGCTCACGATCAATTGGGCAAAAAGAATTTCCGTTTCGGTTTAATAAAATTTGGAGTGGACTATTAGGCTATTATTATTATTATTATTATTATTATTATTATTATATATGCGAACATGACAATGGCATATTATATAATCCGAACATAATATGTGATATGCGATTTAAAAAAAAATATATGGTGCCTCTTCAATCATTATTGTTCTGTTAAAACAAATTTGTTTGTTTTAAAAAAAAAAAATTTTTAATTTTTTTTAGCTTTATACCTTGGTTACTTTTCTATCCATACCATGCTTCCAAGATTTATGTCCGAGCAAACAAAATATATAACAATATCAGCTATAACTTTAACTTACTTTGATATTTCGGGGAACTTATCAGTGGCGTGTGTTCATCATTATACGATCTGAAAACCTCTTCATCATTTGACAATGTCAAATGATCCCTTTCATCCATCTTTGATCATATATTCGGAGACGATTTTGATGACGATCTCGACTTGTCGGAGGGAAATGACTCGTAATGATGACTCATATCATTTGCCTTCGGTCAGTTCTGGACAGCTTCGCAAAGATGAAAAAACAACAACAAAAAGGTTATATACATATATATATAAAATATATAAAAAGATTTAAAAAGATTTGTTAACTACTGCTGTTATGACCTGAAGAGATCGTTTTTCTTTCTTATATTATTTACTAAAAGATCTTGGCAAATGAAAAAAGGAAAATGTATAATATTTATTTTAAAAACTGCATTTACTCGTAAGTGGCTGGAATGGATTTAGAGCCTTTCTACACAATGCAATCATTGGTTCTCTCTGTTTAGCAAAATAATGTAGGGGGTTACATTCGAGGACCTTTCTCTATGAATGCCTCCGGCCCGGCCCCCAGGTGGTTATCAGACGAATTTGCAGCTCCTGCATGAAATAGTACTTTGCACAGGTCCTTGTCGGTCCTTCAGTATATATATATATACAGTGGCGTAATGAGCAAAAACGTTTGGGGGGGCTGACAAAAAAAAAATCCGCAGCACCCCACTCTAACATGCATGGGCATCAATGGCGGATCCAGGAGTTTCTTACCGGGGGGGGGCACAAAATGGCATGGGGTTAAATATATGTAAAACGATGAAGCGACAGAACGAGGGGGTGGGTCTGGGAGGGGGTTCTGGCCCCCTCCCAAGGTAAAAAGCATTTGCAATTTTAGAACCAAATTAGACGCATTTTCAGGCACTTCCTGGAGTAATATGACGTACAATAGCTTTCTCCTACCCCTTCCAAGAGTAGGGATCTTTTGCAATTTGAGAACCACATTTGGCGCTTCCTGGAAGAAAAAAAACGAGGCCTTCTGATTGGTTAGAAGTTAGAGAAAAGTGATCTGTCACGGCTTGAGACGTTGTATATGCTTTGGTGCCGCACAATGCACAAAGACGGTGGTCCGGTACTTCATCAGTAGTACTTGCAAAAAATTTCTCGAGTGTATAAACTGTGTCGTTATCAGGGGCGTCGCTAGATCTTTGTCAGTGAGGGAGTGGGGAAGGTGTTGAGGCCACCGATTACCGACAAAACGAGCAACCAATTACCGACAAATATATTAATGCCAATGCTCAAATGTCTACAAATAATTAACCCTATAAACCCGAGGCCAGGAACTAAGTTATTTTTCAGTCTCCCCCCTCCCGCGCGAAGCGCGGAAACTTTGACACTTCATTAAATTATTAGAGAAAGAAGACGATCCGTTGTATCGTTCTCGACTCTTAATTCTCGTTTGGATCCAGTTCCCTCCCTCTCCCGCGCGAAGCGCGGCAGCTTTGATGTTACAATAAATTATTACTCTTAATCCTTGTCTGAATTGGCATCCCGCTCGAAGCGCGGGAGCTTTCACGCTTCATTAAACTATTACTCTTAATCCTTGTCTGAATTCATTTTCGCCCGCGAAAGCTTTGACGTTTCAATAAATTATTACTCTTAATCCTTGTCTGGACTGGCATCCCGCGCGAAGCGCGGAAGCTTTCACGTTTCATTAAATTATTAAAGAAAGAAGACGATTCGTTGTATCGTGTTCCTGACTGAATTCAGTTTCCCCCTCCCGCGCGAAGCTTTCACGTTTCATTAAATTATTAGAGAAAGAAGACGATTCGTTGTATCGTGTTCTTGTCTGAATTCAGCTTCCCCTCTCCCGCGCAAAGCGCGGAAGCTTTGACACTTCAATTAATTATTAAAGAAAGAAGACGATTCATTGTACCGGTTCCGAATCTTAATTCTTGCTTGATTTAGTTTCGTCCATCTCGCGCGAAGCGCGAAAACTCCGACGTTTCATTAAACTATTACTCTTAATCCTTGTCTGAATTCGTATTCGCCTATCCCGTGCAAAGCGCGGAAGCTTTCACGTTTCATTAAATTATTAGAGAAAGAAGACGATTCGTTGTATCGTGTCCATGTCTGAATTCAGTTTCCCCTCTCCCGTGCAAAGCGCGGAAGCTTTGACACTTCATTAAATTGTTAAAGAAAAAAGACGATTCATTGTACCGGTTTTGACTCTTTATCCTATCTGGATTCATTTTCGTCCATCTCGCGCGAAGCGCGGAAACTCTTACGTTTCATTAAACTATTACTCTTAATGCTTGTCTGAATTCATATTCGCCCATCCCGCGCGAAGCGCGGAAGCTTTCACGTTTCATTAAATTATCAGAGAAAGAAGGCGATTCGTTGTATCGTATTCTTGTCTGAATTCAGTTTCCCCTCTCCCGCGCAAAGCTAGGAAGCTTTGACACTTCAATTAATAATTATTAAAGAAAGAAAACGATTCATTGTACCGGTTCCGACTCTTAATCCTTGCTGGATTCATATTCGTCCATCTCGCGAGAAGCGCGGAAACTCTGACGTTTCATTAAACTATTACTCTTAATCCGTTTCTGAATTCATATTTGCCCAACCTGCGCGAAGGGCGGAAGCTTTCACGTTCCATTAAATTATCAGAGAAAGAAGACGATTCGTTGTATCGTGTTCTTGTCTGAATTCAGTTCCCCCCTCCCGCGCGAAGCTTTCACGTTTCATTAAATTATTAGAGAAAGAAGACGATTCGTTGTATCGTGTCCTTGTCTGAATTCAGTTTCCCCTCTCCCGCGCAAAGCGCGGAAGCTTTGACATTTCATTAAATTATTAAAGAAAGAAGACGATTCATTGTACCGGTTCCGACTCTTAATCCTTGCTGTATTCATTTTCGTCCATTTCGCGCGAAGCGCGGAAACTCTGACGTTTCATTAAACTATTACTCTTAATCCTTGTCTGAATTCATATTCGCCCATCCCGCGCGAAGCGCGGAAGCTTTCACGTTTCATTAAATTATCAGAGAAAGAAGACGATTCGTTGTATCGTGTTTTTGTCTGAATTCAGTTTCCCCCTCCCGCGCAAAGCGCGGAAGTCTGACACTTCATTAAATTATTAAAGACGGAAGACGATTCGTTGTACCGTTCTTGACTCTTAATCCTAGTCTGAATTCTGTCGTCCCCCCCCCCCCCCCACCAATGCGCGGAAGCTTTGCCGTTTCGTTAAATTATTAGAGAAAGAAGACGATTCGTTGTACCGTTCACTAATCTTAATCTTGTCTGAATTCATTTTCCCCACTGGGCCCCTTAACGGTGCATGTGCAGTGTTACATGATGTAAGTATGGAACGCCCGGCAGTGCTTGTCACAGTTGCTTCTGGATAGGATTTTTTTATTAGTGTTACTGTTAGTGGCCACGGCCCCTTAGTGACTATAAAAATACATATGCTCTTCCTGGCCATTTGGGAATGTGTCAGTTTGCAACAGAAATGGAGAAACACGCATTTTGCTGAAAATCATGTGATATCACGAACATTTATACATCACTTATATGGAATTGAAAATAAGTCATGGTTCAATTTTATTTGGGGGGGCTGGCGCCCCCCCCCCCCACCAGTACGCCAGTGTATATATATTACCTTGCATTTATAAAATTATGTATTATTTTATCTTACATCTACAATTCATTAAAAAAAAGAATGAAAAATACATGTGCGTAATCTAAAACGGGTAATAAATGAGTACAAATAAATAATACTTATTATCTACTTGTACTTCCTCCCATGCCTCGATAAAGAATTGATGTAGTACTTCATTCATGATTAGCTCACAACCAATAGTAATACAGTCAAACCTGCTTTAGTGACCACCTGTCTACAAAGACCACCTGTCTA